ATCTATCTATCTATCTATCTATCTATCTATCTATCTATCTCTATCTAAATAGAAACGGCTTATCCATGGCATTATAAAAATAAAAATCAAAAATTGATGCAAATATGTATTCTTACACATGCATACGCGTACACATTCACATATGTATGAACACACACAAATACATAATGAATATATACATATATATTACATTGCACGTGATGTGTGTGTATGCGTGTGTGTGAGTGTATGTGTACGCACGTATGCATTTATTTATATATATTAAATTTATACGAAAGAAAATAAAAGTGTTACACATATGCGAAAAGAATATATAGTAGGAAATTTTTAAAAAATCGAAGGCATAGGCCTGGAGCAAGCCGGTACAACCACAACAACGGAAAATCAAATGTTTAAATGCTGAACTGCTGAAAAAATAAACACAACTCCAATCACATGATAATTATAATTTTAGTACTGGCAATCGAATATATTTAATCATTATTATGAAATTATTACGAGACCAAGGCTAGAATTTTTAAAAAAATCATCTAAATAGATTGTATTTTTTTTTTGTAATAAACTAAAGGCATCGCAGATGACTCTTAAGTGACCGATCAATTTCAATTAGGTTGGGGATTTTTTGTGGTTGTTCGTATTTCCTTTGCCGTGTTGTACCGGCTATCCGGCTAATCGGTCACACGTTTCGTTTCGAAACAGATGGATAAACTCTTCTGAAAGATTCGAGCAACAAATTAAATACTTTAAAATATTAAAATTAAGAGAAGAGGAAAAAGGAGAACAGGAAAGAACAAAGCTAGATTGAATTGGTTTCGTACCATGTATAATATATTTACGAGTTGTTCATTATTATGCCAGTGATTGGAGTTGTGTTTTAATTTGTGGTAGCTACGCTCCGGGCCTTGGCCAGTCAAGTGTTGGGCGAACAAATTCGGACATGGACTATGTGGAGCTGATGGGCCATGCTGAGCTGCCTTCGATCGAGGAAAATCTCAACTTGGATCATTTTAGCTTCAACGAATTCATACAAACGTACAACACTAAACCGCAATAGGTATGTTTAGGCGCGATAATTTTTTGTGTCTAAATTTCTATTAATTGTCTTCGTTTTTCACTTTAAATCACTTTTTCAATCATACATCATTCAACATTGTAATTTGTTATTATTATTATTGTTCTTTTTATAGGGGAGGGATGTAAAAATGTTTTTGTTGTCTTGAATATATTATCTTTTATATCTATTAATTATATTCGCTTCTAAAAAAAAAAAAATCTGACATATCTTCTTTCATTGTGTGCAATATAGATATATGTACAGAATGAAACACGTAACTGGAATCGTTTCGATTATTTTGCAAATAATGATCTTAATAAAAAATATTTCATATAAGAATTGAATGTTTTCTAAGGGAATATTATTTTAATATTATAATATTAATATATATTCATTAATTTTTTTGTAAATAAATTTCCTTATCTATGAAGGAAATATATGAAGAAGTTTATTTTTTTAATTAAAATCATTATTTATAGAATAATTGAAATAATTTCAATTATTTGTTACATTCTGTATATACAATGTAAATGAAAATAACTTTTATAAAAGCTATTTAATCATTTAATTTTACAAACGAATGATAGCAATCGATAGCATTTATATATATTATGATTAATTCATGTGTCGCTTTATAAATTGATTACTTTTAGTTTGGATAAAATATTTATTATATAATAATAATGTCATTTAATGTTTAAGTATTTAGTTAAATGAAATTGAACAAATCGAATATTTGATACATATTATTGAAAAAATTGATCTTGTTTTATTATTTAGATTTTATTTGAAAAAAAATATCATTATAATATTCTATTATAGTAATAATGCAAATATAATATACAAAAAAAATATAGTATATTAACTTTGATTGTTGCATAGTCTACAATTTTAAAAATTATATTTTTTTATAAGATAATGATATTTCTTTTAGAAACGTAAAAACATTAAATAAATATTGTGCTCTCCTTTTTGTTTCTAATAATTACCTGTAATTATATAATAGTAAAGCAAAATTTTTTGTTATTTATTAAAAAACAAGATATGAAGGAGAAAATGATGAGTGAGTAATGATGAGATCTAGATGTCAACGGAGAGTAGAATTGTTATAATAATCGCATAGAATATATAAATACAGACAATCATTTTCGCGTCCACTTATGTAAATAGAGAATTTACAAAAAATTAGAATTTTAATTTACCAATAATCTAGAATATCTAAATGAGAAAGGGGGGTTGTGCAACGTTAATATAGAATATATATAACATGCAATTCGTGTGACCTAAATATGTGCCTTAAAATCTTCGAATTTCTGCTTGTTATATTTTTTAACAAACTCTTAAGACAACTTGCATATTTTCGGTATGAATATTTTTTTCTTCGTTTGACTCATCGTTCGATTTGATAAAGAAATGATGTATTTTCTACCGTTTAAACATTTTGTATATTTAAACGTTACTTATTTAAAGATATTTGAAAGAATGAAATCTATTTGATGCGTAATATTTTTAATGCGACGAAAAAAAAAAAAATATGTATTTTCTAATTATCGAAATAAAATTTTCGGTAAATATTATATATTAGATTTATAAATATAAGAGATTCTTATCGCTAATTAAAAATATATATGTTATTCGTTTTCTAATAATTGTATACCCTCCCCTGTAATTTATGTAATCTATTGAAAATTAATTGTTGCGCGTATATAAATCATCGACGTACATTAGATTTCATTTTGGATAGATTTGAAGGCATCGTTATCCTCATTATATTTACTATATATAATATAAATATTATATAATATATATATATATATTATATATTTGTGTGTAACCGCGTATGGATTCATGTATGTACGAATTTATGTATGTATGAATGCATGCATGTACCTGACTATGTATATGCGTGTGTGTACGTACATGTGTATGTATGAATGTATGTAAAGATAAGTAAACTTCTAATTGTAACGTTAACATTGTTCATTATTCAAATCTATTGTCTATTATCTTTTATCTAAAAATTAGAGTTTATTTTATTATGCAGAACAATCTTACTGTTTGTAAAAGATATACGATTATTATTATCTTTATTCATCTACACAATAATTATTATATAAATGTAAAATATATAAGATGTGTTCGTATAGAATAAAATAGGTTTTTAATTCGATTCCTAAATCGTGTTTCGGTTTAAATTTTGACAATTAAATACTTTTTCTCTAAATATTTATTATAAATATTATAAGATAGAAATAAATAACATAAACTTGTAACAAAAAAGTTATACAAAAGTTTCATGATCTAATAAGATTGCTAATATTTTACTTATTTTGAACAATCCTCGGCCAACACATTATCATCTTTGTGTAAGCAATCGCATTCAGGTATACATGTATCTTCGTAGTATCCAGGTGCAGGATAACTAACTTGATAAATAGTATCTGTACACATTGGATCCGTAGGCCGTTGATATTTATCCTTAGATGCCCAAGGTATAAATTCTTTAGGAAGAGGAGTCCAAGGTTGATAGGATAGTTTGTTTATAGTATCATATTCAACCTTTTCAGCAAACCTAAAAGATAACAGCGTAGAAAAAAAATACTTATTTAATTCGAAGAATCGTAGCACAATATGTTGCAATATATATTATTGGTCAATAAAGGACATTGCTAATGTACCTTTTGTATTGAATGACAGGTTTAAAACTCTGAACTAATTCTACCGGGCCTGGTTTCGCGTACGATAGTTTCGTCGTAGTTCTATCATCGATCGGTGTATCAGCGCTTCGAAGATTATCGCACGGAACAATAAGATCAGGTCGTAGCGTTGACTTTTCCACGAAATCACAACGGCTGGTAGTGTCAGATCGCATCGGGCCCTCACCTAACATCTTTCTACTTCGAGGTAATATCGGGGAACGTTTCTCGGCTTGAAGTGGTTGGTAACTTAACTAATTGATAAATCAAAGTAAAAAAAAAATATAAATAAAAATTAAAATAAGAAAAATTAAAAATAGAAAAATAACAATTGCAGAATGAAAAGGAAGAAGTTAATGGAAACGTCGTTGTAAATCGCAATGTACTTTGCTCGTTGTGTCTGCCGATATCTTGCCGTCAGCTCTTGTGATAGCATTGCAAGGAATAATCGGTTCCACGCGATCAATGGTCGATTCCAAATAGCTTTCTTTGTAAATAGTTTTATCATGAAATTCACCGCCATAAGGAAATACATTGGCAGGACAGGGCACTATAGGTTTTTCTATGCATGACTCTTCGTTTTTCAAATAACTTTCAGAATACGTTGTTTTTGCACACATCGCAATGTCTGGAGGTCTATAAACATTTCGTGAATTGTTTAATGTAATTAAATAATAATTAATAATAATTGTCTATTGTAAATTGAAGATACAAATAAGAAGTTTTTTAAAATGATATATACTTGTAAGTAGGTTTTTGTTGCCAAGAATATATATCTTTTTCTTGAATAGGAACAGGCTGATAACTTAATTTATGCGTGGTATCGTCAAAAATTGGTTCACTAGGTGGACAATAAACCGATACCGGTTTAAAATTAACCGTTGGTTCAGTGGATCCTGGATCCATATAAGAAAGCTTTGCTGTGGTACTATCCTCCAATTTGCCTCTACTCAAACGAATATTCCCGCATGGCACTATAAGTTCTTGCTTCTCTACATATTTACGTGGGTAATCTTGACGAACCGTTGTAACAGAATCCATTGGACCAGTTCCAATCATCGGTCTAATATCGAAGAAATAATTTCATCGTTAAAACTATTGAAAATTAAGAAATTTTTTTTAATTCGATTTGACATAGTTTTCTGAATCTGTTACCTATGTTTGGGTAAAATTGGTTTTGTTTTAGGCACAGCTTCGATAAGTTTGTAACTTAATTGATTAGTTGTTTCAGCGAGAAAACGAGCATCGGATTTAACGAGAGCAGGTTTGGGTCGGATGGGTTGAGATCGGCTGCGTCGCATTTCCGCATCATCCACGTTTAAATATGACAAATGATACGTTGTATTAGTTTCAAACAGCTTTGAAGGTGGATGATACGTTCTTACGGGGGCGAATGACTTTGTTCGTGATGGTTGAACATATTTTCTTTTACACTAAATACGCATAACATTAATGATAAAACTATATAATAATCGATTTTATCATTTCAATAATAGAAAAATTAGCAGATTTCTTACTTTTATATCACATGGACATTCTGATTTCTCGCATCTTGGTGTTCGAAGTTGCTTTTTCGTATTAATCTCGATTACTTCCATTTTGTATTTGATATTATTTTACATAATAATAATTTCCTTGTTTTTTTCGTTTTTTAATCAACAAGAGATTTATGTTTCCGGTTAATAAATCTCTCAAAAGATATGTAACATATAAAATACAATAATATAAAATGATAAGATTGTTGCAAACGTCAACCCCTACGTCACATCTTGCAACTTCAGTAAAAAACACATAATTTAGCGAATCATGCTTCGAAGTTAGTATTAAATCAATTATTTTAATGAAAACAAAATAAAATCAATGATAAAATCGATTATGTCAATAATCGAATATATATTTAAATATTTTAAGATATGATATGTTATGATAAGAAAATTTGTTATTTGCAAACCGATAATGATAAATGATTTAACTGATAATAATTTCAATTTTTGTCTTAGCTACTAATAGAAAATTTATTTCCTTATATCGTACGTATCGATTAAAAATATAATATGAATATGTAGAATGTTTTATTTTAAATAATAAGAATGTCTTTTCACTATTTTAGATCACAGTTAATTTTCAAGATTGGATAGATTTCTTTTTGATAGCATCTAGCGAAAATGCATGTAAATCGATGTATTCTCAAAACAATGATACATGGAAGACATAAGAAACATACAATGCGATTATGTTTAATTGTCCACGTTTCATTTTAAGGGGATGTCATTTATATGCGTGGTTGTAAAATACTGCCTATATTCGTTTATCTTTTTTTTCACATTTCCATATACGAAGCATATCGAAAAATATGTTTTAACAATTATATATATTTACTGTATACAATATAATCATACTATGGTTTGAATTAATATAGTCGAATTAAAAGAAAATGCTATAGACATAAGATAAATTAAACATAAATCTAACGTAGACTGTAGATTAGAAATTAGCATTGAAAAAAGAGGTA